AGACGCTGCCAGGAAGTTAACATCTCCCACAGCTATGATGATCCACGGTTGTGGAATGCATTTAAAACAAAAGTTTACCAATATCACGGGAGAGGTCATGCTACAAGTATAAGGAGGATACAAGTACATTGCTTATTTGCAAAAGGAAACTAGTCACCACAGCTCTGCAGGTGACGAATGAATTTCTTGTTGCTACCGTACAGCGGATCTTCCGAAAAACTATAGGCAGGCGTTTGGAAGAAGGGAACTTTAAGTCTGCAGAGCCATTGTGTATGTCCCGTTCTCCAGATCGTACCATATCGCCCACTTGATATAATGTCGAGAGCAGCGCAACTGGACTGAACAGAACTGAGCTTACATATTCAGATGTGAGTAATTTTAATCTGGCACCTGATTATATACGCTAACTGATATGGCGTGAGAGTGATACTACTTATCGTCCAAAAACAGCGAGAATCAACGCCTCGTACGGACAAGCACGTTCTCTAGATCTAAACACCATTAAAAGTATTTGGGATGCTCTAGGAAATAAGGAAGGCAATTTGCGGATCGAAAATATCCTCCTACAAATACGAACATCCTTATCCGTGCATTAGCAGAGGCGTGTGATCAATTGCCTCAACAGCATGTGCATAATATTGTGTAAAGCATGACACGACGAATGAAAAGTTGCATCACACTCCACGGTAGACATATCCCGTACTAGCATCTTTCTTAAAGGTGCTTGCATTTTTGAGTATTTTTTCAAAGGTATGCATTTTTGTGTATCCTCGTACCCAGCATCAAAATAACACTTTTATTCTTTCGTATGTTTTACAACCTTCTGTGCTTTACTAAACAAGGAATGTCCTTTATTCTAATGCCTGAACCGTGGCGCTATAATATTTTATCCTTTTTAACCTCCAACCCCTCTTAATGTTATGTTACATAGCGATTCGAGATCCGTCCTTAGCAGTTGTCCAAGAGTGTATAACAGCAGACACTAAATTATCGGTTATTACTTTAAAATGGCGCAATGAATATTCAAATTCGCAATTCCGATAGTTTTCGTACTAGTCATTAGTATAAGGCTCTAAATTTCAGAATTTGGCCCTTTATCAGTATTGCAGAATGAATGGAACAGTTCGATTGTTTACTGAATATTCAGCCACTTCATCTGTCGTATGGTTAAGATTATTAGAAAGCTGATTAAACCTATCAGTCTTTTAAAAATTTATTGTTAGAGTTTTCTCAGAATCAGTAGACAGTGGAATTTATTCGGAGACTGATATATACGAAAGCTGTAGATAGCATAGGGTAAATACTAAAATAGTAATGCATCATTTTTGTCAGTACATTTTTATATTTTAAGATCGCTGATAGAATACCTCGAAAAGCAGTTTGGCTTCTAAATGGAAACAGAAGGGTTATTTGTTGAAACAACCATTCGTGTTCTTTTTTTTTTTTTTTTTTTTTTTTGAAGAACTTCACTGATACCGAGGATATGCCATTTAGTTTAATCAATCCCACAGGGAATGGTTATGCGAGTTATCAAGTGTTCTTGCTTACTTACAGATGAATAAAGATTCAGCGAATAACAAGTTATAGTTTCTAAGAGAAATATTTCTAACTATAATAAGGTCCATAATATCTTTTACGTTGGAAAATGTCCTTTAAAAGAAGTAATTAATGACACCACAAGAATTCCTGGGCAATTTTATTTTATCAAATTCCCATACACATAATGTTGTCATAACATACATATACTGTACTCAAACATTATGCAGGTCCAAAAACTCAAACATTATGCAACCAAAAATAGGTAGCCGAATTTGGAGACCTTCGTCTTCAAAAAATAATACTAGATATTTGCCATTAATAAAAAGCCATCAGCTAATAACTTCAAGAATTTATTTGAAATGCTAAATATTTTTACAAAATAACTGAGGCTTTAAATGTAACAAAACCTTTTCAAGCGTAATATCTTATAGGGTCTATTAGAAAATATCTTTCTTGCGCTCTAAAAGAGTAAGGAATGAGAGTTGGCGCTTACAGTATGATTTTGAAACAAAGAGCCAGAATACCGAATGGGTCCCCTGCAAAGAAGAAAGCATGAACACATCCTTCCAAAATTAAAGCCATGCTAATAATTTTCTCTGATTTAAAAGGCATTATTTATGCTGTGGAAGGAGATTTATGACGAATATGATTTACTGTACTGAACTTAAAGGGCTCCTCATTTTAGGCACATGGATATGATTATTAGCACTTAAAAATTAATTAATTATTTGGAGGCCTTTCCATTTGCGACCAACGCTGCTTTATGGGATCTTTAAATCTGAGGGACAAAATAATACCAAATCCTTCTACTTAGAAGTAATGAAAACCTTAACTCAGCATAACAGAAGGGTGAGATTAGAGTGGTGAGAGTCCACATTTAAAAAGAATTCGTGGTAGAGTTCAAGGCTATTGAACCCCTAAAGTTAAAGAATATTTACCTCGTCAACAGATTAATGGCATGGAACGAACATCCTCCATATTATTCCAATTTTCTCCTTTTTCCTCGAGTCAGAAATGTCTTAACATGTCGTCGTTTTGAAAATATGTTGATGTAATTTACGAGCGGGCGACGAGGATCTTAATAGCCATTAGAAAAGATGACTTTCATAAATCTTTCTCAAGAAGCACTCGAAAAAGTTCGTAGTTTAGCAGTTACATTAGTTTGAAGGTGACACCATGAAATAATTTGTAAAAACAATAATAACATGAAATAATTTGTAAGAAATTATTAAGTGTTGCATAAATATATATTTCATATCATTTCTGGAATTTTTCTGCACACTTATTATATTAATAATTGTACTGAAAAATTCTATCTTACTGCTAGGAATGCAGAGAAATAATTTTATTAAACTGCAAAGCAGTAAGCTCGAAACATTTCAAAGATAAAAATAGCAAAATATTTTCCGCAGTAAATAAGTACTGTACTTCCTAATCTGAAAATAACAATTATTTCATTTACTTTAGCTTATAAATTTAATATTTACTTAAATAAAATATATGCATTACCTATATTTGGAAAATAAATACCACAAAGAAACAAAGATAATAAAAGTTTTCAGGGGAGAAAACTATTAAACGTTTCTAGGCGAATAAAAAGGTTTTTGAAGTCGCCATTTACGTATCCTAAATTTAGTAATGATCAACGAGTCCCGATAAGTGTCGGGACAATTGCAATTACATAAATAAAATATTGAAATAGTTTTCCCATTTTAAACGCAGTTTTTAAAGGCAGCTCTAAAAAATTAAAATCTTATATAAAAATATGGTTCATCTATTTTTCAAAATATGCAACTTTTTGAGATTTCAATGCGATGAAAAGAAAAAGAAAGTTCTCTCATGTATTTAATATTTAAAAGGTTTAAATATTTAATTTCGGAAGAACGTGGAAAGGCTTTTAGGAACGGAAGGACCTGGTCTTCCTCTTTTGCAATATTTAATCCTCCGAGAAGAATTTTAAAAACTTTATATATATATATTTTTGTTTTGCTGTTATTTGGAAAACCTTTCATATAAAAATAGATTTTAATCTATCAAACTTTATACTGCAGTTGAAATTTTGATGTCAGATTTTTATAAAGAGCTTCTACAAAATAAAATTCTGTAGCATGTTTTCATCAGGAAGTACGCCATGAATAAGAATAAAAAGGTGGGAATCCTGGTCTTCGCTGTCGCTTTGCTGCCGCTATGGGATAATCTATTAATAAGTTTGGGAAATTTATCACCATTACTGCTTCACTAGTCTCGAGAATAGTAAATGGCTTTGAGGTTCAATTAGCTGAGGTGTAGAGGGCAAAAATCGTATATCCAAAGCAAATGTGTATTTTAGATTTCGCTGTCGATATTTAGATCTGTTTCGTGTCACGATAGTTTATTGGTTACCTAGCCACTCCAGTTTTATTACAATTATTCACCAATGATAATCTGCGTATTTCGTAGTTGTCGGTTGTAGCCTGAAAAATTAAAAAGAAATTTGCTCTGAAAGGAGTTCGAAGTGAAATAATTCACACGACATTTATCAGTTGGAGAGACTTTATATTACGTCCAATGATTTACATTTCTCGTTGTCTGGGCACTTTAAATCCATGGTCATGAACGAGATTCAATCTGCATTATTTACAACATCAATTTGACTCATTTCTTCTAATGATCAAGACCTTTCCTTGAATGTTTGTGTAGATGTTATTTTTATATATTTAAAACTAGTAATTTTAAGATTCCAATGTTATAAAACATTTTATGGTCTAATTTTATTATTTGCATTCTGCGAACTGTTTTATGTTAGTTTCAAGATATTATGAGATGACTGAACTTCAAGGCATGAGTTGTCTACTTTCGTTATCGTGTACTTTAGTTATTATTCCCAGCGTTAGGAGTGACATCAGCATCATGGTTAGCACAATTCCAAAAGGCAAAAAGAAAAAAAAATGGCGAAGAAAAAAGAAGAGGAAAAAATATGCGGCTTTGAACACTCTCAGCTGATGAACGTTTATGCTTACAAGTAATGGCTCAGAAAATGAGAGTAATCAGAAACAATCTGAGACAAATTAGTCAGGATTTAAAAACTTTTTAGTTCTTTCCTTACGATTGAGGAATTAATATATTTATTACCACATAAAAAAGATGATTTGAAACAGATCAATGGGAAATGAAAATAAGAATTAACTGTTGGAGAAGACGCAGGTACGTTGGTTTGGCATTTTAATTTAAAGTCTTATTCAATCCGTTTGAAAATCAAAGTTTACTAGCATGGAATAAGAACTTTATTTTCTTATTTTCTGTATGATTTCTTCAAAACCGAAAGAAATTATTAAGAAAAGAAATGCTGAATTCTAGGAATCTTAATTTGAAATTTAGAATTCAAAAATGACGCAACTTTTGCACTGAAAGTAATGGAAGTTTCACAGACATAAAAATATTTACTTCTGTACGTAAATGTGAAATCAAATTCATTAACTTACCAAAGGATCAGCTTTAAGTTTCCTTGTGTGGGCTAGGCTCCTCTTTTTGCGTGCATGTGGAATGGCCCGATGTACAAATTGAAAATGCTGGTCAGAACCTAAAACCTGAAAGATGGAAAAGTTATAAATATTAATATTCTTATAAACACTGTTAACTATCTTAAGATGAATATGAATTATTTATGAAAACATCTTGCACACCTTTTATTGGTGTTAACTTATTCGTGTTTGCGTTTAATAATTTTTCTTCGAAGATCTGTTTTAGGAGAAATATTTCAGCCAATAAATTAATTTAAATTAATCTTGCGGATGTAAAAATAATAGAAACTTTTAGCATCATATTTACTTTGGCTAAAAAATCCTTAAATTTCTTTATAAGCATAGACCATACTGCATTTCTTTCTCGTTTTTGCCATCAAATGGAAAATATCCAACATTTAGATCAACTTCGGTACCAGCCAGTTATTTTTTATTCAACACTTTTGAACATATTTGTGATATGTGCTTTATCTTTAGCAACACTGCATTTGCTTAAAAATGGTCTGCTTCGTAATAATATTAGCGACAATTTTCTTCTTCAGGTTATCATTATTCATTTGCTTTACAGACGTTTACTAGGCTTCTGTGGCCTTGTTTCCGTGCGAAGGGTCTTTGATTTTCGGAAATAACCAGAAATTAACTAATGGGAGAATATTTAATTAGAGATGGGGAGAGTTAAAAATTTTTGATACTTTTCTACTATCAGGAACAGGATTCATCGAAAAATAATTTGCCAAACTCGTCGAGAGAAATTACATGAAGTGGCCATTTTGTTTTACCAAAGTAATGTTCTGTAAAGTTAACTTTAATAGAATTCTTATCATGGATACGAAAATTTGGAAATTACCTGATGATGAATAAAACATTTTCGAGAAATTCAATTTCAAGAAAGCACCGAACTGAAGATGTACAGATACGACATGCCAAGGGAAAAATAGGATTGCAATTCTGAAAATTACTTTGAAGATAGAGAATTGGTTTTTTAACGGCTATTAGCTTCATTCATGTAAAACCTCATAGATTATATTGTCAGTCTAACTGAAGCATTACAGCCTAAAACAGAAAAAAACAAAATTCCTAAAATTTTTTATATCAGATTGATATCTAAATAATACGTTCAAGAATTTAAATTACATAAATATAATCTTTTACAGTATTCTTTTGAAGTCTTTCACGGGAAAAAAACAAGCGATATTTGTAAGGAAAAAGAATGCAGATATATTTAAATAAATGAGATATTTCACTTACTTAGAACACCCCGATGCCGCTGTGAAACTAAAGTAATGAAAGTTTACAGAAGATATTTCAAATAAAATAAAATTATATAATTAGGCCAAAGGATCAATTTGCCCAGATGGGCTATTAATATCGTTTTGGCATTTGCATCGGTTCACTTTTCAAATTGTTGCCACCAAATATTAGAGCCCCGCATTATATTTAAATAAATTAAATGATGAAGAATCTGCATGAATGTATGTAAGTTCTCGAACTGTGGAAAAACAACGGTACCTAGAGGCATCAAATTTTGAATAACGTAGTCCTCTATCCGAATATGAGCATCTGGAAACCCCCAATTTGTTATCTGTTTCATATTTTATCAAACATTAAAGAATTTTTGATTAACAAACTCAACGATTTCAAAGTGAGCAACGGCAACACTGTACGAAAAAAAAAAAATATTAGCCCCAGTACGCGAGACTGTGTATCGGAAATTCAAGGATATGCTCTTCTAAATATTTTGTGACATTGCTTTTGAATTGAATTTCATGGACTAAGGGCGAAGAACATGAAAGGTAATACACAAAAGGTTAAGAAATGCCCTTTTGGGCGTAATATAAAATCTGAAAGCTTTCAGATTTTTTTTTACTTATATTGATTTTACTTATTTTAGCAATCACGGATGCCAATGGTTTCATCTCAACAAGGTTTAGTGAAATGAATCAATTAGTTTAGGTCCGTAACGTTAAGTTTTCATTTTGGCAGAATTTAAAAGAAATGAACATCCTCTTTTAACCTGTATTAGCTTTCCTAAGTGAAATAGAGAAAAGAAATAGTGCAAAATTTTAGTCAAATGATGTTGTTTATGTTTTCAATGAAATTAAATGAATTTTTGATAGTAAACGTACGCATTATTTCACATTTTCCAAGAAGAAAAATTGTGTTTGTTCAGGAAATTAATAAATACAAAATTTAAGTATTAGATTTATTTTTAATAAATTAAGTTTTAATTCCTTACTTAATTTAAATAATTGTTTAAGAAATGTATGAATGCATTTCAGTTTAACTGCTTTGAAATTAGTTTATAAGACGTTTGTATCGAGGAAAATAAATGCCTATAGATGAGACTAATTAAGTGTAATTAATATTTTGTAACTCGTATTATGTTTGAAACTTTATTTAATAACTAAACAGTAATTCCTAAACAACGTATAAAGCCAAAAACGTGCAAAATTAAGAAACAGGAATATTAAAAGACTTTCTGTCATAATTTAAAATTATCTTCAACATTATGTGAAACACGCACACGCGAAAGTCAGTAAAATTAATTAAAAATTAATCTGAAGTTTTATAGAAAACTCTCCGTATTTCAAGAGAGTAAATCATAAGGCAATTATAAGTAATAATTACTCTTTTAAGTAATCATTACTGGTAAGGAGAGGATTATTTATTTAATGTAAACTATATTAATCTACGATATGTCTTGTGATAGTAATTAGTTATGTAAGACCTGTGTTTTATTATTTAGGTTAATTATCATTAAATTTATATATTCTATTTGATAGATTATTTTTTTTTCCGCGGTCAATCCCATAAAATAGTTTTTATAAAAAAGTAAATATAATGATTTTAAAGTGTCCAGCTAGAGCAATTTCATAAAAACACTTCATATTTCTAATTAGACTTGTCATGATTTAAATGTATTTTTATTTAAATCAGTCTGACTGCGTTTGTTGCTTTTAAGCTGCTTGGCTGGCTGTTCAAAACAGCGAAATTAAATTTGAAAGTTAAATAACTTACGCGTGATATTAATAGCCGGCGCATGGAAGATAATGGTATTGTTATGAATTTTGTACATATGGAAACAATTTTAGTGAAATTATGTGGAACTTTAATATTTGTTTTGTATAATGTAACATGAATATGTAAAAATGCGAAGCTTTGCCGAAAATTTAAGAATACAAAGACAGGCCTATTTAACATCAACATTAACTATCTAACATTTTGCCGAGTGGCAACAGACTGGAGCGGTGAAGATAAAAATGTTCTATTTGCAACAATGTTGCTTCTGCTCGCTTTTAAATCGCTGAGTCCGTTTAGTAAAACTGACGCAAAATATGAAATAAATAAACAAAAATTTTAAATTCAGAATTCGGGCTTCGCGCTGCTGATATTCATCAGATTCTAAATATATTAAAAATTTGGTGATTCTAGGTGCCATCGTTTGTACACAGTGTGAAGAACATACATACATTCACGCAAGTCCTTCATTATTTAATAATAATAGAGATAAGTTGTCTCCGACGATTTTATTTTAAAATTTTGTCATTGTTCTTATAGCAAATTTTATCTTATCATTCATTTTATTCAATTACATTTGTCTATAATAATTTGGTTAATTTTTATTTGGAAGTATTTTGTTAGGGTATTTTGTTGGAAGTTTTGTTACTTTAATATATATATTCTGCTAAATTTAATATTTTAATGATCTGTAATATTAAAGCATGTAATTTTGATAATTAGTAAAGCTATTTAAGATAAGTTAGGTTATTTTTTATTTACCTTAACTATTTATTTAATGTGTCATTCAAAAATACGTTCAAGTTTTCTACCTCGTCTTCCTTCGTCATTTCTACCTTGTATTTGAAGGGAAATTGTAAACTGCAAATTAACAGCACGATGAATCTTAGGAGGAAAAAAGTAAAGAAAAAAAGTGCTTTCAAACCTATGGCAAACACTGTTTTTAATACCTTGATACAATACAGGTTTTAGACAATTTTATACCTTTTCACACAAATGCCATTCAGAAAGGGATAAGCAATCAAAGAAGCTGGTTTTTCAAACATTAGCATTTTTATTTACTCAGTTTAAAACCTTGCACACGCGCTGGATTTACTGTTGCATGTTACAGATTTGTAAAGCTCTCATTAAATTAGGTCAGATAAACAGGACTTGAATGCTTATTGAGAATATTCTACCTCGTACAGAAAAGTAGTCATCTTTAAACAGCTCAAATAGAAAAGGATAGGGATACCAAAATTCTCTTTAGCACGCTAGGAGCATTGTCGATCGTCAAAATCGCGCAAGGTGGAAAGTACCAAAGACTGATTACCTATCAGAAGTTAAATAGTGTAAACACACCTAGATCTTGATACGTTAAATAATGGACGCTCATAGCCACACCGATAAGGCTGTTCAAGGGGGAAAAATAAGCTCTGCCAATTCCAGTAAAATTAAATAAATATAGAACTTCGTAAATGCATTTTTCGAAAATTTTCAAAATATCATAAAGATGGCAAGAAGTGGTCAAATGGTCATAACATGTTAGGAGAATATCTGTTTATATCTCTGGTTCTACATAAGTCAAACATCAATTGACATCAATCAATTATAAATCAAAAAGTTTTAAAAAAAAGTACCTAAAATTCAACGTTAAAGAATTGTATAGTAAATGAACGAAAATTTTCATACAAAATGCGCTTTTTAAAAGTAAATAAATAAAACCGAATAAATAAAGCAATACAAAAATACATAAAAAACACATTATAAGCAAATATATGCAGATATTTACAACAAATAAAAAGTACATACTTATACACTATGCAAATTTTGACTTTCATTACATGAACTACCGAGGGCAAAAATATGTTTATAAGTTTATTAAAGCATTGGTTTTTGTGCCTTTCTTTTACATAAGATATTCATATCCCATCCATTGAGAAACTAGAAATTTCAGCAGCAACTATATTGAAAAGGCTCTCTTTTCTAATCACCATGAATAGAGAGCTCACATAAATACAAAACAGCGACTTTTGATTGCCCTCGGGGAAATGAAGAAAGAAAAAAGATAACGAACACGGACGGAGAGTTCGTTGGTTTCAATATTTCATGAACTTGGAGTAAAATTACCTCAAGGGAATGAATAGACGCCATCTTTAGATGAAGTATTTAACGCATCTAAAGAAAAGTTCTGAAGTAATAAATCATGAAGCAATGAGCTGTATACGAAACCTTCTTCGTCTCGTTAGAATGATTTATGAAGATGCCCAAATTACTTTCTGAAAGATCTGATTTTATAAGTAGCTTCTACCCTTTTTTATGTAGTCGTGTCGAAACACTTGTATGAAGCATGAGATTTCGATCACCCGACAAGCCATAACAATAAAAATATTTTTAAAATATGCTATGCAGCTTTTGGACTGAAAATATTAGCTAACTAAGTCAACTTAATAGAAAATATTTGCTTATTTAAAATATAAGAAACTGTTTTAATTAATAGCAGCCACTTGCCAACAAATAGACTTTTATATTATATTTAAACATAGCCTTAAACTGTTCATACGTTAAGAGAAAAAGGCTAAGTATTTTAAAGACATATGTGTTAGATTTATTTTAAATAAGAAACAGCTACATTTTGTTAAAGTGTTCGCATGTATATCTAAATAATGAGTCATAGTATTTAAAATAAAAAGCCGAATAATTAAGCATTCGCTATTATTATTCACAGTTATTTATACTGTAAAAATTCACTTAGATAGACTATAATATCACTTTGGGTTCCAACCACTTGGCTAGGACAATTACAATTACAATCTCACTAGGTTGTTCCCCGTGCTTTGTGAAGATAATTATAACGATCAGAGAAACAGACACAGAATCAAAAGATTTTTAAATTTATTCTTCCTCACCCGTTGTGATTAATTGAATTAAAATATACTACGAAATATTACAAGCTGGGCCGGGTTTAACTCAAATATTCCTTTTATAAAGAATATAAATTCCACAATTTAAATCTTGCCCATGCAAAATCTACAAGATTGCGTAGACCACGACAGAATTTCGAACACGCTCTTACCCAACAGGATCCAATTTGGGCCTAAGGAAATCCAAGGAAGAACAGTCTTTTATTCTATCGGCAGAGCAGCGGAAAAGCAGGCCAAAACTCCCGTACCTCTATTCATAATACTCTGTAATAAAACAGCTTGCCGCTCGAAATCTAAATTCTGGAATGAGAAAATCTCGAGAAGAAAAGAGGCAGAAAGGCGAGAATTAAATTAAATTAATTTGTAGTTAGTATTACCATAAAAGCTGCGAAGCAATGTATTCAAAATATCTCTGACTATATTTTAGTTATAGACTCTTTTTCTCATTAAATTCCTGTTTAACTAATACTCCATTTGATTAATTTAATCTTTTATTCTACTTACAGTTAAATACTGAAGTATCTGGAAATCAAAATTCGAAAATTCGACTTCTTAGTATGCATTTTAGTTGAAGGTAAAATTCTTCATGTTTAAATTTTCTGAAATTAGGTATATTTAGTGTGTTCTAAAATAATAAGTATCTTCAAAACGAAAGGTTAGTTTAGAGAAATTCCATCAGTCATATTCTTGCTAACTCCATACTTGTTAATATGCATTATTACCAAAAACAACTACAATTTAGAAACTGAAATATCAGTTTATTTCACTACTTTTTTAATTTGCTGTTGTTGACTATGATTATATAAAAATAGAGTAATTTTTCCTTTTGGCGAGATGACATCATTGTAGAAATTGTTTATAGAAATCTTAAACTGCGTATTTTAAAAACAAATACCAGAGGTTGATACCTAGCAACGTTTCAAATCTTTCCTGCATCATAAACGAGGTATCATAAATTTCACTTCTCTAAAGATACGTGATGCAATATTACAACTACCACTAATACATGTTTCGAGAAACTCTGTGTTTCAGGCTACTCAATGATTTCTGATGCTCTAGGATGTGTCTCTTACTGGTTCTGTCTAGGATGTAATTTGAGTGGAACATTGGTTCCATATCTGCATTTAGGATTTAATTACAGAAATGCTGCAATCAAGTGTGGCTTAAGATTCTTTATATTAATCCTCCTATGACAATGCAGATGTCTCGATGTGCAAGTTACCATACGACAACAGAAAGAAAGCCTTGACAAGGCTGCAAATTAGGTTTTTCGACTACTTAGTTTGCTTTAATGAAGAAAGGCAATCAAACTGCCCCATTTATTCAATTCTAACAAACATCTCCAACTGAATCTGCTTAAAATGATATTTGAATGAAACACTGGATTCATGACCGACATTTTTGATGAAGTTGAAGCTCCAAAAGAAATAGTTTACAATTCCTTTGGTAATTCTGTTTGAAATGGTAAAGTCGAGGCTTCAGTGTGCAAGTTCTCATTTGGACATAAGAAAAAAATGACACAGTAATCACAATCTAGGGTTTAGGAAAATTGCTAATTTCGCAGAAACTAGGTGCTATTCCACAGTACTTTTTCTGTGTCAGAAAGAACACAAGGCCAACAAAATAGTGTATTTTTCTGTTTACATGCCGTTCATTGTTTTGAATTGGAGGAATGTTTCCCTTGAGCTGAAGGGATACAAAATTTCATTTTTTCACTCGGAGAAATACCTGAAACACGTCTATCTCTTAATGTATGTACCTGCGTTTCTTTAAAGCTCAAGATCTCGAAAGATAATGCACATAAACTATCGAGAACATGGCATCGTGAGGCCAACAGTCAGTCACTGATCTAAGCCTGACTGTTTGACTGTTTGTGTATGCTAAGTAATGATACCTTCTAAAGGAACAACTTTCTCGATTTAGTCCCTTGACCATATTTAAATACAAAATTTTAAAATGGAAATGTATTTCATTACAAATCCTTTCACTTCTTATAAAACAGCTTTTATAAATTTGAATTAAAATATTGCTAAAAACTTAAATGAAATCATGAGTGAAATGTATGAGAAAATTTAAATTCCTTGCGAAGGTATATCCATAGTTAACTATTAGGTAATGCTATAATGAGATGTAATAACAGATGAGATCTGTCTGGTCTCTATCAGAAACCCGAGTTCTTCATGGCAGCAGATGAAAAGCGGTTCCCACCTGTCTCCAGACAGCCACTTGCTATTTACGAGGACGGCTGAAGTAATCCATTTGTCCAGTATGAATGAACTGCTGATTATATTTAAATACAGCGCATAGTCAGGTAAATGTTTTTTAGAATTTCTAAACGTTGAATAAAATTTTGTTTCGAAATAGGGTTTCTAAAAATGGCTGGGGACTAGCCTAGTCCCTCTAGACCAACGACGTCACTCAAGTGTAGCATATGCGCTAATAAAAGTGTTTGCACCTTAAAACATATTTAATTTGGGCATTTTAAGTGATATTCGATTGATAGTTATGAAATTTTACAGCAGTATTATTATCGATGAAAGTTATCTTTCTAAGTTCGTGTGTCATACACCTAGAACTTATCTTCATTTGAGAAGCAAACATCGAAACAATTAAAAAGGAAAGTGCGGTGATTAATATTTAGTGATGATCATTAAAAAGCATTTAAATTCTTCAAACTCAGTAAATTATGCAGTGAGATAAAGCAGAGGTCATGTAGAGTTTTCTCATTATATATGGGCAATAAATGCCTCCTACGTTTTGCTTATTCATGTTTTATTCACGTTGGGTATCAAAACAATACTATTGTATAAGTTCTAAGAGAATTATTTTTTATCTCATATTTCTGCATAATAAAACGATTTTTAAGTAGCCTACTGTATATAAAATTCCTCCGCAGTTTTCTGAAGGCGATAATTCAGTCTAATTACAAGATATAAAGACAGAGATAATGATGCATTAATGAGCTATAAGCTGTAAGAACGTAATTATCATAGTCAGTCTAATAACGGAAATTGAGGTACAGATAAACTTAGCCTCAAAATGTGAAGTACAATCGGTATTGATTAAGATGCAAATACCGCCGGCTGTGAAGAATTCAAATTCTGGTATTAAATCATAAAAAAATGAAACAAACTATACATACTTTATAAATAGGTTCTATATAATCGAATCGCTAATAAATCGAATTATTTTACAATAAAGTACTGTTTAGGTGCGTTTTAGCTTTTAGATATCATTTAGCGATTTTCTTGGAATACTTTTTTCCCTTTTTGTGATATTGGAATTAAGGGATGGGGGCGTACAATCGATGTCGTCTTAATATCAAAGATACATAATAAGTGACTCGTTTTAAAGGCTAAATAGAAGCTATGAAAATGGTAAAAATTACAAGGAATAGTCGAAAAAGAATGAAAAGGAATTCAAATATATTGGACAGATTCTACGTTGGTATAGTATTTTTACCCATTGTCTTCTCTAAATTTGATCCATAGAAGTTTTCACTCTTGGAGAACATACCAGAATCCAGTTTTAGGCATTGCTTTTATAACCGCCTGAGCTTTCTTTCAAACTGCCAAACTGCTGCTTTTCAAACAAAAAAAGTGATAAATTGAAATGGTGGTTTCAAAGTTCTGATTTTTGATGAGGAAAAAATAGTCTCCCAGATTTAAGTCCGAGATAGTTATATGGGTGATGCGACATACATGTGATCGTTTTTGAAATGAAATGCGAAAAAAAATCTCCAACCATAAGTATGCAGCTCAGAGCATTTTCTTTAATATTTCCTGTCAAAATCTTCAAAAATTCTAAGGTAAGGCGTTATATGCTGACAAACCATTTCATAAGAATTCAAGAAAGCTGCAGCTATTACTTTACTCTATGATTTAATAACTCTGGTCTTCTTTGTGGCGAGAGCACTTAGTGATTTCTAAGCTTTCTAGAGGTGGATTTGATGCGTATATTAATATCTTAAATACAGAGAGGGACACCGACACCGCATTAAAAGGAACCTCTAAATCAGTAATCAATTTGTAAAACGCAATAAACATGTACATGTCTTAAAATAGATGCTCTTAAAAGCTCTGATTCAGAAAAGCATTCACTTTATCCACTACTGAGGCTATTTTTGCCTATTTGATTGCAAGATTCAAGGTAGTGATGTATTAATGACGAACTTTAATGTAGTGATGCAGTGGTGATGGACACTCATTAACAGTAATAATGGACCTTAAT